AAATAACGTGCTTGTCATGAGTAGTGGGAAAGTCATGTTTTTTTACTTTGTTATTTATTATATTTCTTGATCATGAAGCGTCATTCACCAAACCAACAGCATCACATAAAAACAAGTTTAAACTTCACGGTGGGAAAAAGAGACATTCAATTAGAAGCCGCCTGGATTTCCTTTTGCTCATGAGTCTCCAACCTGTAGCTCAGGAGCTTCCAGTAGCTCCACCCCTTTACAAGCAGCTCACAAAGGATTTCTGAGGTACGTGTAATGTGCTGAAAAACTCAAATCTGATTCATTACCACTGTAAATGTGTCATTGTGATTGCGAACTTGTGCACTAATAAACAGATCTAGGTTTATGTTTTATAGGCATCGAACTGTACGCCGTCTAAACCTCGCCATGGCTTTTTTACTTTCTCAATTTCTTGTGACCACTAAGATGAGTACAGGAAATGTAAAGTTTACAGTCTAAATGTAAAGTTTACAGTCTAAATGTAAAGTTTACAGTCTAAATGTAAAGTTTACAGTTTGGTTGCGTGTTAAGGTAAATGATGGATAAATCCAAGAAAATGAAAGTTTTTGAAGAATCACAAAGTGTTTAATCCTACGGGGGCAGATTCACGCACACTCCAGAACACGAGATAAAATGATGATGAGACACAGAAGCAGATGCATTTTTATTTCATTGCAGGTGAATAATTTAAGTTTTGATTTTTATTTCCTACGAGGACTCAAATAGACACTGAGTATTTTATTCGATATAAGCATCAACCAAGTGCCGTTTTTTTTCAGTGTTCAACATTTTTTGTTACATGCAGAAATAAAACTTGGTGAATTTCACTGATTTTACAAATACATTCTAGTGTTTTCTACAGAGACGCAGGTAAATAAATGATCTGCAAGGTTCTCGTTTTAGAGTCAAAGAGTTTTGTGGCTCCAGGTGTTTTTCTTTTCTGTGGGAGACGAAACGGCTCTGAGTGTTTAAGACTTTAATCAGTCAGATCAATAGACATATTAGTAGGAGTATTAGTAGGAGTATTAGTAGGAGTATTAGTAGGAGTATTAGTAGGAGTATTAGTAGGAGTATTAGTAGTATTAGTAGGAGTATTAGTAGGAGTATTAGTAGTAGTAGTAGTATTAGTAGGAGTATTAGTAGTAGTAGTAGTATTAGTAGGAGTATTAGTAGGAGTATTAGTAGTATTAGTAGAGTATTAGTAGGAGTATTAGTAGTAGTAGTATTAGTAGTAGTATTAGTAGGAGTATTAGTAGTAGTAGTAGTATTAGTAGGAGTATTAGTAGGAGTATTAGTACGAGTATTAGTAGTAGTATTAGTAGTATTAGTAGGAGTATTAGTAGGAGTATTAGTAGTAGTAGTAGTATTAGTAGGAGTATAGTAGTAGTAGTAGTATAGTAGTAGTATTAGTAGTAGTATTAGTAGGAGTATTAGTAGGAGTAGTAGTAGTAGTATATAGTAGTATTAGTAGGAGTATTAGTAGGAGTATTAGTAGTAGTAGTATAGTAGTAGTAGTATAGTAGTAGTAGTATTAGTAGGTAGTATTAGTAGTAGTATTAGTAGTAGTATTAGTAGTAGTATTAGTAGTAGTATTAGTAGGAGTATTAGTAGTAGTATTAGTAGTAGTATTAGTAGTAGTATTAGTAGTAGTATTAGTAGTAGTATTAGTAGGAGTATTAGTAGGAGTATTAGTAGGAGTATTAGTAGTAGTATTAGTAGTAGTATTAGTAGGAGTATTAGTAGTAGTATTAGTAGTAGTATTAGTAGGAGTATTAGTAGGAGTATTAGTAGGAGTATTAGTAGGAGTATTAGTAGGAGTATTAGTAGGAGTATTAGTAGGAGTATTAGTAGTAACAGTATGATGTAATAGTTTGAGCTCTGACCTGCTGGAACCACAGCAGGTGGCGCTGGAGACTGTCCTCCTGAAGAAGGTTCCGGAGCCGAGACGAGACGTTTAACCACAAACGAGTGAAGTGAGTCAGATTCCCCACGAACGCAAACGTCTCATTCGCCTGAAACACAACAGGACAGAACAGGACTAAACCAGGACTAAACCAGGACTAAACCAGGACTACAGCAGGACTAAACCAGGACTAAACCAGGACTAAACCAGGACTACAGCAGGACTAAACAGGACGGACCTTCTGGATGACCTTGTCGGCCTGGGAGCCCATGGGGGAGTAGAGGATCTTGGGGTTGGTGGTCATGAGGTGGACCAGCAGACCCAGGTTCCTCTGTTCTTTGGAGGTGAAGCCCAGAGAACTCATGTTCCCCTGCCTCAACGCCTCGGGCTCGATCCTCCTGGAGAACAACACGGAGAACAGAACAGAACAGAACAGAACAGTGATGAAGAACCAGAGCGTCAGACCACACGAACCAACAGATCTGACCAGGGCTAGAATTAAATATAAGACACTGCAACTGAGGAAGGAGCTTTCAGGACTTTTACTACGCGGCTCAACTCAGACCTTTGGTGTGTTTATGTTCACCAGCCGATTCTGCGAGCTGGAAAGAAGTGGAAAGTATTGAGATGAAACTGTTCCAATTCTGGCACTATTGGCTGATAACAAATTACAAAACAATGTAAACAGAACAGAGGATTTTATGTATGAATCCCTCTTGAAAAGTTCTTAGAATTTGTGAACTGGAGAAAAAATCAAAAATATTAAGATGGGCCTATGACTCTGATTTCCCTCCAAATACTCATGATAATGGGTTTAAAACATGGATATCAAAGTTATTCTACTCTTTCATCCACAAGGGGGTATTTTTGAGCTTTGACAAATTAAAGGGGCAAAATGGATTAGAACAGGAAGATTTTTACAGATATCTACAGGTTAGACATCATTTTGACCAAAACATGAAAAGTATATGGGAAAATGGTGATATGGGATTCATATTGATCCTTCTAACATTAACAAAATCAATGTCTCAGAGAAATATAATATCTAAATTGTATAAAGCAATTCAACAAGGTAAAGAAGGTAATACAGAATATATTAAGAAAAGGTGGGAAATTGAAGGTAATCTGAACATTTCAAGTGAAAGCTGAGAAAGAATTTGTCAATTACAATGGAAGACAACATTATCAAAAACACGGCGAGTGTTTGGATGGAAGAATATTGTCAGGTTTTTTATCACACCTGATTCATGTTGGAGACTCTGGCTCATCGGGGGCGAACCACTATCATATTTTTTGGGATTGCAATGTTCTGAAATTTTATTGGACACAGATTTGGAGTCACATAAACCATGTTTCTGGATCTAAATTGATGTTTAGCTCTGAGTGTTTCTACTTGGGAGATGTTAATGTCCAGAATTGGGGAAATGATGATAAAAAGTTATTTGCAAACCTACTTATAGCAAGAAAAAAATCCATGAGGGCGGATCCTTCATCAACAGAGGAGTGGATAGAAATAGTTTTTGAGATTTATGTGATGGAAAAACTGTCTTTCACCCTCCAGAACCAAAGGGATTTATTTTATGAAACATGGACGAAATGGACTGAGGATGTGAAACCATCAGATCGGACTTTATTTGAAAATGATTAGCGCACATACATCTGGATTGATATTTCATTGAACGACTGTAACGGCACTCTTCTCCTCTGTGTTTTTTTTTTTTTTTCTGTTTTGTTTTATTTTGTTCTGTATAATTGAAAATTTAAAAAAAATTACAATTATTTAAAAAAAAAAAAAAAAAGATCTGACCAGATTTTTTCCAGTGGGACCCAGGACACACGTGCTCCTAAAACTCAAACATATTCGATCTTTTCATGTGTGACTTTAGTCTGAACGTCCACGTCACATTCATCCACGTGCACTTTTCAAATGTAATCCCCTACAGATTACAGATTACAGATTACACACCCCAAAATGTAGTTTGTAACAGAATCCATTCAATTACTTAAAGTGAGTAATGTAATCTGATTACTTTGGATTACTTGATTTACTTTAGAGAAACAAAGACGAGGAAATCTTCACATAAGAAGTTTTGTCTGATAAAAGAAAATAAAAAGTCCAAACTTTACTGAACCAAATTAAAAATATTATTGATAAAAGACGAAGAAACACGTCCACACAGCAGGATTTAGACCTGAGTTCGAGCCGAACAGAGTTTGAGCCGAACAGAGTTTGAGCCGAACAGAGTTTGAGCCGAACAGAGTTTGAGCCGAACAGAGTTTGAGCCGTACTGAGTTTGAGCCGTACTGATTTCGAGCCGTACTGAGTTCGAGCCGTACTGAGTTTGAGCCGAACAGAGTTTGAGCCGAAAAGAGTTTGAGCCGTACTGAGTTTGAGCCGTACTGAGTTTGAGCCGTACTGATTTCGAGCCGTACTGATTTCGAGCTGAACACAGTTTGAGCCGTACTGAGTTTGAGCCGTACTGATTTCGAGCCGTACTGATTTCGAGCCGTACTGATTTCGAGCCGTACTGAGTTCGAGCCGTACTGAGTTCGAGCTGAACACAGTTTGAGCCGTACTGAGTTTGAGCCGTACTGATTTCGAGCCGTACTGAGTTCGAGCTGAACACAGTTTGAGCCGTACTGAGTTCGAGCCGTACCGACCTGTTGTTGCCGCAGAGGATGGGCTGCAGTCCGGCCCACAGTTGGACGAAGGCGGAGAACTGGGAGTGAGGGTTGTCGGTTCTACTCCCCGCCGCCCCCCCGCGCCCTCCTCCCCCCCCTCGGTGCTGTTGGCCCCTGTGGTGGAGTTCGACGGCCCCGAGGAGGCGGTCGGGGAGGGGGAAGTCCGGTTTGACCTGCAGAAGACGAGACGTGAAAACCAGGACTAAACCAAGACTAAACCAGGACTAAACCAGGACTGAACCAGGACTAAACCAGGACTGAACCAGGACTAAACCAAGACTAAACCAGGATTAAAACAAGACTAAACCAGGACTAAACCAGGATTAAAACAAGACTAAACCAAGACTAAACCAGGACTAAACCAGGTCTAAATGAAGACTAAACCAGGACTAAACCAGGACTAAAC